GCGAGTTGACGACAAATCGCCAACGTACCGAAGAGTGCCAGTGAAAAGAGGTACCGCCTGAAAAGTACTCCCTCATTTTTCGGCACGATGTATAATGAAACCAGCAGCTCATTCATTTGATACAATCTGGAAAAAAATTTAGCTCATTTTCACAGCCATTCCTGGCTAAGATGGTATACTTTCACTTTCTAATGAAGAGTCAGTGGTGGCCAGAGATAAGGAAATTGGAACTGAGCAAAATAAGTAGTACTACCGTGAGTAATACAATATTCCCGTTTATACAAATTTTCCAAAATCACAGCCACTTTTAGGCAACGTATCGAACGGGCGAGATAATCGGAAACGGTGCTAGATAAAGCTTTTGCCCTTAATTGCCGGTTGGAAGGTGATCATTGCACTTCGCCCTTCGAAACCGAGTATGGCCAAAGGATTCACAATTTAATTCTAGCCTTAAATTTTGATTATAGCATACAGTTCATTCGCAACTGGTTTCGCTCTATTATTCGATAGTGCATCTACATAAATCAGCACACGATAGTGTGTCTCGACATCTGCACTCACCCGATTCACCTACAGATGGCAGTCTGAGAGCTATTATTCTCTTGTAAGCATTCCTTTATCCCATTGAAATTAAGCTATCTTCTATGCGATAGATCAGAGCTGGACAGGAAAAATTCAACCAAAGCCCTAACATTATGAGGCAGTATGCTGTTAATTTATTTCTTTACTGTCAATTTTCTGGCATATTTGGGGCAAATGTATGTCGATGTAAATTAGTTGAAACAATAGCAGAAAAATTAACTTAAATTACTTAAGCACAATTTAAACTCGTTTACTTAGGAGACCGTTGCCATCATTATCATCTTCATTGCCGCCATTCGTCTGATGGCAATTTGCATCAAAGTTTTGCTAAATGGCAAAAAGCATACGACTTAGCCTAGGGCAATGGAACTTTCCACATTTTCTTTGACCTATTGCAATTATTGCAATTGTTGTCCTTTAGCCCTTTGAAACCTTTGCTGCCTGCAGTGGAATGAAGAAAGCAATGAAA